GCACAGTGACTCACTCTGTAACCCTAGCATCCCTGGGAGGCCAAGGTGGGAAGATCGATTGAGGTCAGGAGTTCAAGACCAGCCTGAGGAAGACAAGACTATTCTACTAAAAAAAAAAAAAAAAAAATAGAAAACTAGCCAGGTGTGGTGGCTATGCTTGTAGTCCAGCTACTCAGAGTCTTGAGCAGGAAGATCGCTTGGACCCGGAGTTTGAGGTTGCAGTGAGCTATGATCATGCCACTGCACTCTAGCCAGGTGACAGAGTGAGACTCTGTCTCAAAACAAAAATAACAACAAAAAAAAAAAAAACCCCACAAATGTACCACTCTGTGCAGAATGTTATTAGTAGGGGAGGCTGAAGCTGTACGTGTGTGTGTGTGTGTGTGTGGTGTTGGGGTATATGAGAACTCTCTGTACTTTCCGCATCAAATAATACAACTTAAACTAACAATATAAAGCCTATTTTTTAAAATGACAGGAAAATCTTAAATTTTGTTTATATATTAAGAATAAGAAGTATAGAAGAGTCATTAAGACCATTGCCAAGGTGTCTTAGCTCCATCATTGCCCAGTGTCTGAGGGTTGCTAATACCCCTGTAGAAGGCATGGATCATTCTTGAATCCCGGTCCTCCACACAAAAATATTGTAATAAAGCACTATTATATAAACCATACCTTGAAGAAGATAATAAATAATGAAATTGCTATTTCGGTCCATAAAAAATCACTCAGTACTTAAATAGAAAGCATATATGGCTTTTAGTCTGAAATGCTAAATATGTGGTAATTAAGAGTACACATGTGGTTCTTTCTTCTTCTTTTTTATTTGCAGATTCAGAATGCTCTCATGAATTTTTCAAATCCAGATTTTGATCTGTAAGTCTTCCTATTACTTTGTATTTTAATAATAGTTATTATTATTTATTTTTGGGAAGGATACTGAATCAGAGAAGAGTCAATATGGAGACAGAGATTATCAGAGTTCTCATAGATATAATTAGCCTCTTCTGCACTTCTAGATAGACAATGTAGAAAAGCCAAGAAGCAATCATGATTCTCAATCCTTTAATCTAGTGCCCATTTATACCATTATCTTGTAATACCTCTTTTATTGTCCTAGATACTCCTAGAAAATATTACTTATATACACAGATATTAAAGAAGATAGAATGTCATACCTGTGATATAACAAAGAAAATACAAGGAAAGACATAAGAAAATTATATGTGCCTGTATTTCAACATATAATGCTTTGTATAGCTTCATAGAAACATAAAGAGTATTTCTACTATTATAATGAATGTTTAGATATAAGAAGTAAAATGTATACAATTGGCTATTTTCTTTGCATTTGACATTTGAAATAAGAAACAATAGTGGTTGTATAATTACATAGAATCCCCATGAATAGCTACAATCAGACTGACACAGGTATGTTGTATTAGAGTTCAGAGTCATTTTTTTTTAGACAGAGCCTGCACTTTGTTGCCTTGGGCCAGAGTACAGTTGGCACATCGTAGCTACACTGCAACCTCAAAGTCCTGGGCTCAAGTGATCCTCCCTGCCTCAGTCCCCCAAGTAGCTGGACTACAGGCTGCGCCACCACACCTGGCTGATTTTTCTGTTTTTTGTAAGAGATGCGGGTCTTGCTCTTCCTCAGGCTAGTCTCAAACTCCTGGCCTCAAGCAATCCTCAGGCCTCAGCCTCCCAAAGTACTAGGATTACAGGTGTGAGCCATCACACCTGGCCAGAGGCGATTTATTAATATTAATACAGATACTATTAATACAAATACTATTACAGAATTTTCTGAAATGGGGAACAACTCTCAGTAAAGTTCCTGAATGAAACAAAGTATGATCCTTCTTCAGATCTTCACAGTAGTTACATTCTTAGAGAATTCAACAGCAAAATTATACTGTCTTTATATGTAAAATAGAGTTATATTCTAGATTCAAAATTAATATAAGCAGATTTTTCACCTACTTGAATGTTTTGCAGGAGGGAGAAAGTCGTTATTGTGTAGGAATTGCAGGAGTTCTGCCTCTACTCCTACTCCCCATCTTTGTGGCAATAAAAAGTCACCCACAAGTTCCTACCATGCTTCCTGGGAGGAAAGGACAGTACCACCCCTGTGGAGAATCACAGATTTTGTTGCTTTTGTCTTCAGAAAGATTTCCCTATGTGAAATTAGATGAAAACAATCAGACTTTGTTCCATAAAGAACTGTAGTTTGGGTCCTGAGGTTTACATAATTTATATCCAATTGTTTTTTTCAATTGATTTTTTGAACACTTGTGTTACATTGATAGCAATAGATTGTCACTTTTTGAAATAAAATATGCTTCCCATCTTCCCAAGGACTGGTTCCCAAACATGATTGGGGCCTTGCTGACAATGTTTTCTACATCCACCTGTTCTCAGCCTATACAAAAACTATAATTCTTCCATCAGCTCAAACTCCACTTCTGTTTCAGAAAATTTTAAAAATAACTTCATTCATTCATTTATTTTTAGAAGGGGTTACAGAAGAAGCAAGTTAAGAAACCACGATTTGGGATCCTGATAAAATTAGAGATATTCCAGACCACTGCAGTTGACAGTGATTGTCTCTTCTCTCACCTCCTATACTACAGTATTTATTTTCTGGTCCATTCATTAATTCGTTATTTATTGAGCCCTCACTTCATTCCAGACACTGTAATCAGGTAGAGAATGCAAAGAGGACTGACAAGGCATGCTTCCGGCCCTTAAGTTACTCAAAGCCCAGTAAAGGGACAGACACCTACACTTAATAGCAACGGTTAATGGTAGAAACCAGATTGGTTTTCATAATCATGTGGAGCCTGGGGGGGAGGTCTGGGATGGGGATATCAGCATCAAATTCCTAAGCTTGTATGAATGTGTATACAGTCTTCCTAAGGCCACAATAGCTGGTATCTCATAAGTAGCACTTGAAAGTTGAAGAGAGGCCGGGCGTGGTGGCTGTAATCCTAGCACTCTGGGAGGCTGATGCGGGTGGATTTCTCGAGGTCAGGAGTTTGAAACCAGCCTGAGCAAGAGTGAGACCCCATCTCTACTATAAATAGAAAGAAATTAATTCGCCAATTAATATACATAGAAAAAATTAGCCAGGCAGGGTGGCACATGCCTGTAGTCCCAGCTACTCGGGAGGCTGAGGCAGCAGGATTGCTTGAGCCTAGGAGTTTGAGGTTGCTGTGAGCTAGGCTGACACCACAGGCACTCACTCTAGCCTGGGCAACAAAGCGAGACTCTTGTCTCAAAATCCAGCAAAAACATGGCAATGTTATGGATATAGCGTTTACTCTTAATCAAACTTGGAAGCCAACAGTTCTTGTCAGTAGATTAATGGATGATGTAACTGTGCTGCGCTTACACAATGAATATTATTCAGTGCTAAAAGAATGAGTTATCAAGCATGAAAAAAGAAAGAACTTAAATGCATATAATTAAGTGAAGAGAATCTGAAAAGGCTCATACTGTTATGACTCACTATATGACATTCTGGAAAAGTATAACTTATGGAACAGTAAAAGATCAGTGATTGCAAGAGTGGAGGGGAGGAAGAATGATAGCAGAGCCAGCATTTTTAAGCTGAAATTTTTCGGTATGTATATATGGTGGATACATGGCATATTATTATACATTTGTCAAAGCCCATTGAATGTACAATATCAAGAGACCTTAAGATAGACTGAGACTTTGAGTTAATGATGTGTCAATGTAGTTTATCAATTATAACAAATGGGAGCACGTGCTCACTCCTGTAACTCTGCACTCTGGAGGCCAAGGTGGAAGATCGATTGAGGTCCAGGAGTTCAGACCAGCCTGAGGAAGAGCCAGACTATCTCTACTAAAAAAAAACGGAAGAGAAAGGCTCACTACCTTAATACTTTAGTGCATTCAACCTTGCCCTTACAGTATATATGGCAGCTTCTGAGGCTATTATTACTATTTTTTTTCTTAACTATAAATTGACAGCTTACCATTGTATATATTTATGGGGTACAAAGTGATGTTATGATTTGTGACTATAACATGAAATAATTAAATCAAGCTAATTAGCATCTCCATTACCTCAAATGCTTATTTTTTTTGTGTGTGGTGAGAACATTTGAAATTTACTCTTAGCAATTAAAAATGTACAATACATTATTATTAACTACATTCACCATCCTATGTAATAATCTAAAAAAAAAACACCTTATTTCTCTTGTCTGAGATTTTGTACCCTTTGACCATCATCTCCCCATTTCTCCCACTCCACAGTCTCTGTAACCACCATTCTACTCTCTGCTTCTCAAAATTAAACAAGTTTGATTGCTTTGTATTTCACAAGTAAGTGAGAACATTTGATATTTGTCTTTCTCTGCTTGGCTTATTTCACTTAGCCTGCTCTCTCATTTCATCCATGTTGTCACAAATGACAGAATTTCCTTGTTTTTTAAAGCTGGATAGTATTCCATTGTGTTTATATACCATATTTTCTTTATCCATTTATCTGTTGATGGGCAATTAGGTTGATTCTATAACTTGGCTATTGTGAACACTGCTGCAGAGAACATATGAGTACAGCCAATTCTTTGAAAAACTGATTTCAAATCTTTTGGGTAAATACCCAGAAGTGGGGTTGCTGGATCAGATGGTAATTCTATTTTTAGTTTTTAAGTTTTCCATAATGGCTGTACTAATTCATATTCCCACCAGTACTTCTTAGGTATAGTAATTAGTTGGGTAAAATAAGTGCTACCTCCATAGAAAGTCAAATAATAGAAGAAAGCAGCCTATGATTAATGCCAAATTCAGTAAGTGCTGGGGGAAGAAGGGCTCACCACAGGCTTGAATCAAGTAAGATTTCATGGAGAAAAGACAGGTACAAAGTTTGAATGAGGTTCCAAACTACCGTATTCTGCCATTTGAACAATCTGAATCCAATCCCATGGTCTTAACAACGTGTTTGCTATATTTACATTCTTTAGAGTATCCAAGATGAAGGAGAGTGTTAAACAGCGAAGAGAACGAAGAGAAAGCATAAAAAAAGTGAAGGAACAGGTTGCCAACACTCGGAAACAGGCTCTGAAGGAGCAATTCGATGAATGGATTCTAGACACCAAAGGAAAAATTCCTATGGTAGTGGTAAGAAAGGGGGATATATGTGAAGGGTAGGTAGGGTGGGTGATAAGAGGGCAATTACTATAATAGTGAGTGGAATGCTGCAAGCCTCCTTTGAAATTTTCGATACTACTAAAGTAAGTCGATTCTTGACCTGTCTGGTCCATGAGAGTTGGTTCCTTCAATTTTGTCTTGAGCATTAGAAAAAAAGAAATCTAGGAAGATTTCTAAATTTTCACTCTGGCTGAGATTCCCAAACGTGTCACTATAAGCAGACATAGATTTCATTTGTTTGTTTGTTTGTTGTATGTGTCTGTGTAGGTGAATATGTGTATATGGCTATTTTTGTAAGACCTAAGAAATTGTGTCTCTTAGTTCCAGAGAACAACTGTATTCTAAGAGTTAGATATTTTCTCTCATGTATGTATGGATTTGAAAATACTTATTGGTTAGATATAATGCCAAATATTTTCAGTTTAAAGTGAATGATTAAAAATGGACCCAGGAAGATAAACCACAGACTGGGAGAAAATATTAACAAAACACTTTTCTGATAAAGGACTGTTATCCAAAATATACAAATAACTCTTAAAACTCAACAATAAGAAAACGAACAGCCCACCCAAAAGATAGACAAAAGGCCTGAATAGACATCTCACCAAAGAAGACACACAGATGGCAAATAAACATATGAAAAGATGCCTTATGACATTAGGGAATTGCAAATTAAAACAGCAGTGAGATACCACTATGTATATCTATTAGAATGATTGAAACCCAAAACACTAATAGCAAATGACAGCAAAGATGTGGAACAGCAAGAATTCATTACTTGTGGGAATGCAAAATGAAAGAGTTTGGCAATTTCTTACACAATTAAACATACTCTTAAAAGACAAATACTGAATTATTCCACTTATATGAGGTATCTAAAGTAGTCAAATTCATAGAAACAGGAAATAGAATGATGGTTACAAGGGGCTAGAAGGAGGAGAGGAGGAGTTATTTAATGGGTATAGGATTTCAGATTTTCAAGATGAAAAACTTCTGGAGACCTTTTCACAACAGTGTGAATATACTTACACATAGACTTATATGCATACACTTGCGGATGGTTAAGTCAGCAAATTTTATGTGTTTTTTACTGCACACACGCAAAACTAAACACACTTTATACATATGATCCAGCAATCACTCTCCTTGGTATTTACCCAAATGAATTGGAAATTTATGTACACGCAAAAACATGCACATGGATGTTTATAGCAGCTTTACTCATATAATATCAAAACTTGGAAGCAACCAAGATATCTTTCAGTAGATAAATGGATGAATAAACTGTGCTGCAGCTACACAATGGAATATTATTCAGTGCTAAAAAAGAATGAGCTTATCAAGCCATGAAAAGACACAGAAGAAACTTAAATGCATATAATTAAGTGAAAGAAGCAAATCTGAAAAGGCTACATACTGTATGACTCAAACTATATGACATTCTGGAAAAGGTAAAACTATGGAAACAGTAAAAAGATCAGTGATTGCCAAGAGTGAGAGGGGAGGGAAGAATGAATAGGCAGAGCACCAAGCATTTTCAAGGCAGTGAAATTTTTCGGTATGATACTATAATGGTGGATACATGGCATTATATTATACATTTGTCAAAGCCCATTGAATGTACAATATCAAGAGACCCTTAAGATAGACTATGAACTTTGAGTGATAATGATGTGTCAATGTAGGTTTATCAATTATAACAAATGGGCCAGCACAGTGACTCACTCCTGTAATCCTAGCACTCTGGGAGGCCAAGGTGGGAAGATCGATTGAGGTCAGGAGTTCAAGACCAGCCTGAGGAAGAGCAAGACCTATCTCTACTAAAAAAAAAAAAAAAATAGAAAACATTAGCCAGGTGTGGTGGCATATGCTTGTAGTCCCAGCTACTCAGGAGTCTGAGGCAGGAAGATCGCTTGGACCCAGGAGTTTGAGGTTGCAGTGAGCTATGATCATGCCACTGCACTCTAGCCAGGTGACAGAGTGAGACTCTGTCTCAAAAACAAAAATAACAACAATAACAAAAAAACCCCACAAATGTACCACTCTTGTGCAGAATGTTATTAGTAGGGGAGGCTGAAGCTGTACGTGTGTGTGTGTGTGTGTGTGTTGGGGGTATATGAGAACTCTCTGTACTTTCCGCTCGATTTTGCTGTGAACTTAAAACTTCTCTAAAATATAAAGCCTATTTTTTAAAATGGATCAAGAAAAACTCTGAAATTTTGTTTTTAGTAATTGAAGAATACAGAAGTATAGAGAGTTCTTTGGATTGCCAAGCTGGTTGCCAAAGGTGTCTTAGCTCCATCTTGCCCAGTGTCTGAGGGTTGCTAATAATGTCCCCTGTAGAAGGCAAAATGGGATCATTCTTGAATCCCTGTCCTTCTCAGGCAAAAATATTGGGAATAACTGAGAACATATATGTAAAAGCACTTTGTATACCTTGAAGTAGTCTATAAATTAAATATGAAATTGCTATTTCGGTCCTTGAGTTGGAAAGATCACTCAGTACTTAAATAGAAAGACTATATATGGCTTTTAGTCTGAAATGCTAAATATGTGGTAATTGAAGAGTAACATGTGGTTTCTTTCTTTCTTTCTTTTTTTATTTGCAGATTCAGAATGCTCTTCATGAATTTTTTCAAAATCCAGATTTTGATCCTGGTAAGTCTTCCTATTACTTTGGTATTTTTATTTAATTAATTAATTGATTTATTGATTTATTTATTTATTTTTGGGAAGGATACCGAATTCAGATGAAGAGTCAATATGGAGACAGAGATTATTCAGAGTTCTTATAGATATAATTAGCCTCTTCTGCACTTTCTAGATAGACAATGTAGAAAAGCAGAGAAGCAATCAATGATTCTCAATCCTTTTAATCTAGTGCCCATTTTACTACCAGTATTCTGTAATACCCTTTTATTGTCCTAGGATATTCCTAGAAAATATTACTTATATACACAGAATTTTAAAAGAAAGATAGAATGTCATACCTGTGATATAAAGAAGAAATACAAGGAAAGACATAAGAAAATTATATGTGCTGTATTTCAACATATAAATGCTTTGTTATAGCTTCACTAGAAGACATAAAAGAGTAGTTTCTACCTATTTATAATGAATGTTTAGATATAAGAAAAGTAAAATGTATATACAATTGGCTATTTTCTTTGCATTTGACATTTGAAATAAGGACAAAATGAGTGGATTTGTATATATACATAGAATCCCCATGAATAGCTACAAATGCAGACTGACACAGGTATGTTGTATTAGAGTTCAGAGTCAATTTTTTTTTTAGACAGAGCCTCACTTTGTTGCCTTGGGCAGAGTACAGTGGCATCATCGTAGCTCACTGCAACCTCAAAGTCCTGGGCTCAAGTGATCCTCCTGCCTCAGCTTCCCAAGTAGCTGGGACTACAGGCATGCGCCACCACACCTGGCTGATTTTTCTGTTTTTTTGTAGAGATGGGGTCTTGCTCTTCCTCAGGCTAGTCTCAAACTCCTGGCCTCAAGCAATCCTCAGGCCTCAGCCTCCCAAAGTACTAGGATTACAGGTGTGAGCCATCACACCTGGCCAGAGGCGATTTATTAATATAATATTACTTCCTATTACAGAATTTTCTGAAATGGGGAACAACTCTTAGTAAAGTTCCTGAATGAAACAAAGTATGATCCTTCTTCAGATCTTCACAGTAGTTACATTCTTAGAGAATTCAACAGCAAAATTATACTGTCTTTATATGTAAAATAGAGTTATATTCTAGATTCAAAATTAATATAAGCAGATTTTTCACCTACTTGAATGTTTTGCAGGAGGGAGAAAGTCGTTATTGTGTAGGAATTGCAGGAGTTCTGCCTCTACTCCTACTCCCCATCTTTGTGGCAATAAAAAGTCACCCACAAGTTCCTACCATGCTTCCTGGGAGGAAAGGACAGTACCACCCCTGTGGAGAATCACAGATTTTGTTGCTTTTGTCTTCAGAAAGATTTCCCTATGTGAAATTAGATGAAAACAATCAGACTTTGTTCCATAAAGAACTGTAGTTTGGGTCCTGAGGTTTACATAATTTATATCCAATTGTTTTTTTCAATTGATTTTTTGAACACTTGTGTTACATTGATAGCAATAGATTGTCACTTTTTGAAATAAAATATGCTTCCCATCTTCCCAAGGACTGGTTCCCAAACATGACTGGGGCTTGCTGACAATGTTTTCTCCATCCACCTGTTCTCAGCCTATACAAAAACTATAATTCTTCCATCAGCTCAAACTCCACTTCTGTTTCAGAAAATTTTAAAAATAACTTCATTCATTCATTTATTTTTAGAAGGGGTTACAGAAGAAGCAAGTTAAGAAACCACGATTTGGGATCCTGATAAAATTAGAGATATTCCAGACCACTGCAGTTGACAGTGATTGTCTCTTCTCTCACCTCCTATACTACAGTATTTATTTTCTGGTCCATTCATTAATTCGTTATTTATTGAGCCCTCACTTCATTCCAGACACTGTAATCAGGTAGAGAATGCAAAGAGGACTGACAAGGCATGTTTCCGGCCCTTAAGTTACTCAAAGCCCAGTAAAGGGACAGACACCTACACTTAATAGCAACGGTTAATGGTAGAAACCAGATTGGTTTTCATAATCATGTGGAGCCTGGGGGGGAGGTCTGGGATGGGGATATCAGCATCAAATTCCTAAGCTTGTATGAATGTGTATACAGTCTTCCTAAGGCCACAATAGCTGGTATCTCATAAGTAGCACTTGAAAGTTGAAGAGAGGCCGGTCGCGGTGGCTGTAATCCTAGCACTCTGGGAGGCTGATGCGGGTGGATTTCTCGAGGTCAGGAGTTTGAAACCAGCCTGAGCAAGAGTGAGACCCCATCTCTACTATAAATAGAAAGAAATTAATTCGCCAATTAATATACATAGAAAAAATTAGCCAGGCAGGGTGGCACATGCCTGTAGTCCCAGCTACTCGGGAGGCTGAGGCAGCAGGATTGCTTGAGCCTAGGAGTTTGAGGTTGCTGTGAGCTAGGCTGACACCACAGGCACTCACTCTAGCCTGGGCAACAAAGCGAGACTCTTGTCTCAAAAAAAAAAAAAAAGAAAAGAAAACATTAAAGGCACGTGCAGTGGCTCATGCCTGTAATCCCAGCACTTTGGGAAGCTGAGGCAGCAGGATCACTTGAGGTCAGGAGTTCAAGACCAGCCCGAGCAACAACATAGCAAGACCCTCGTCTCTACAAAAAAAAAAAAAATTAGCCAGACGTGGTGGCACATGCCTATAGTCCTAGCTACTTGGGAATCTAAGGTGAGAGGATCCCTTGAGCCTAGGAGTTTGAGGCTGCAGTGAGCTATGATCAGGTCACTACACTCCAACCTAGGTGATAGAGCAAGACACTGTCTCAAATAAATGAATGAAGGAATAAATAAATAAGCTTTTTAAAAGAAAGTTTGTAGAGGTGTCTTGTTTTAGGACCTGATAGCATAAATAGTAGCATAAATCAGCACAGATGTTTTTGCAGTCTTTTATACTTGTTTTTGCTTTTTTTTTTGAGATAGAATCTCACTCTGTTGCTCAGGCTGAAGTGCAGTGGTGTGGTCATAGCTCACTGCAACCTCAAACTCCTGGGCTCAAGCAATCCTCCTGCCTCAGACTCCCAGGTCTTTTATACTATTGATGTATATATTTGTTTCTGCTTTATCCCAACCTAGTCATTAAAAATATAGGCTCTTTTTTTTCTAAGTATTTGCATTGCTTGATTAAGTAAAAGCCAGGAAAAATAATAATTTTGTAGTAATTGGGATGTTACCCAACTGTATGTCATTCACTTTATTGTAATTATGGATAAACATTAGTTAAGAAATAATTTTATGTTTTTCTTTTAAAGCACTATAATGTAAATATCAAATATGATTATATTACAACTAAACTAACTACGAAATAACCTTTATTCCATAATTAGAATTACAATGCAAACAATTGGATATTATTGACTCAACAGAACCAAGATTGGACAAAATGGCATTTACAGAAGTAAGAAGTTACATTATTTAATATTTGAATCAAATTATTTTGCCAGTTGCAATTGTCTTTTGGTGGCTGATGCACATACATTAAGTTAAATGAAAGCACAAAAACTTATTTTATCGATTCCAAGATACTAATATATACTTTAAAATATTTTAACCCCTCTGAAATTAAGTTATATCTTACAATCAAAGGCACCTTACAATTTATTTCCATCAATGACATTCATGATGTGAAAGTGTGAAAAACTTCCACTGACACCTTCTGGTAAGATCAAGAAAAACCAGCATCTTATATTCAATGAAATCTGGCTTTACAAATAAATAGTGAGATCTAAAACTTACAAAAACTTTTCTATTGGCCAGCCACTGTCCTAAGCTATTTGTGTGAACTCAGGTAATCCTCTCAGCAACCCTTATCTTCTACTGTTACAGATGAAGACGCCAAGGTGCAAAAAGGTTAAATAACTTGCACATGGTCTCACAATTAGTAGGTACTGGAGAACTTTGTATTGAGGCAATTTGGTTTCAAAGTTTACATAATATTGTATCTGAGAAAGTATGATTCTATTATAATGGAATAAGTGAAAGAAGAAATTTAATGGTACCAGAGTCCTGACATAGCCCGCTTTTATATTTTTTTCATGTTTCTCTATTTTCCCTTATTTTCCTCTAATGAGCCCTAGAGTTTTTCTCTTTCTCCTCTCATGCACCATTGTTCCACTGAAAGTGAAGAATACACATTATATACAGTTTCAAGATTCTGTATGAAGGATTTCTAGAATTGTTTTTGAGATGATTGTTGTACAAATAAGACTTTGGAAAATCCCATCTCAGTTTTGTTCTGTGTTTTCTTAGATTCTATTTGGTGTCTGTTAGTCACGGGTCAAACTAATGGCTAAAGTTGTTATATCTCCTTTGTGATCCAGAGCCCATACTATGAACCTCCTCCTTGCTACTCTCACATGCCAAGCCAATATTTCTCCTGCTCTAAATCAGTCCAGGGCCAGGCATCACACAACCAGAGACAGTCCTTGTGCCACGGAGTCTTCCAGAACTATTTAAACTAGCCAATCCTAGCTGTTTGTGCTGCCTTCCCTTGCATTCCCTAAGGAAATCCCAATAAGAACTCTAGCTTAGGCTTTCTTTGTCCTTCCTGCTGCTGCTGTCTCCTGACCAAAACCTGGTGCTTCCCCTGTGGCTCTGCATGGCATGGCATCCTCCCTTCTCTTGGAAGTTTTAAGTAATAAAAATCTTCTTTCAATGGCATTAGCCTCTCCGTGCCATCCTTCAGTCACCTCTACAAGTTAAAATCCCAGAAATACAAATGAGACAAGCTACTCAAAAATATGCAGAACAAGTGATAGTGTTAAAGTGATTCAGGAAAAGTCTAAGCTTTATCACTTTAATATAATAATAAACATAACACATTTCTTTGCGAGGCACTGATTCTTGGTGCTACTTGCCTGTTTGTCTTATATCTGGTTCCCCTAAAAGTGGGCAATTTAGGAAATGTTCTCATTTTTTTAAATTATGAAAGTAATATGAATTTCATATACATGAATTACATCTCCATAAAAAAGTAATATATGTTCACTATAGAAAATTAAAGATAGAAAAGTATAAGGAAGTACAAAAATTTAAATCCACATTCTACCACCAATAAATAACCACTGTTAACATTATATTTTTCTTTGTATAATAATAATAGCTAATATTTTTTACCACTTTTTTATGTGCTAGAGAGTAGACTGAGGGTATAACATGCACGTTCTTGTGTAATCCTCACAACAATTCAGTTATTAATATCCTCCTTTTGCAGTTGAGACCTAGGATTGAACACTTTCCTCAAATCACGTAGCACGTGACAGAACCAGACTAGAACCCAGGCAACCTGACTCCAAAGCTCATCATGCTGTTGACCCTTGTGCTTTATCGTGTCTATTATATTCATAGTGAGATGTAAGGTTTTAGTTTTAATTTTGTGTTTCTTCCTTATAGATTTTTAGATCATGCCTAATATATGATCATATATCCTATTTTTTTCATTTATCCTCATCTCTTGATTATTTCTCCATATCAATACATATTCTTTAAAAGATGATCTTTCAAACTTTTTTCTTTCATTTTGAGACAATGTCTTGCTCTCTTGCACTGGCTAGAGTGCAGTGGTGTCATCATCACAGCTCACTGCAGCCTCCAATGCCTGGGCTCAAGCAATCCTCTTGCCTCAGCCTCCTAAGTAGCTGGGAATGCAAACATGTCCCACTACAACCAGCTAATTTTTGTATTTTTTGTAGAGATGGGGTCTTGCTCTTGCCCAGGCTGGTCTCAAACTCCTGGCCTCAGGCAGTCCTCTTGCCGTGGCCTCCCAGAGTGCTAGGATTACAGGTGTGAACCACTATGCCTGACCGAAGTTTTTTTATTTTTAAAACATTTTTTGTACAGATGAGGTCTCTGTATGTTACTCAGGCTGGTCTTGACCTCCTGGCCTCAAGTAATCCTTCTATCTCAGTCTCCCGAAGTGCTCAGATTACAGGCATGAGCCACCATGCCCAAACCATATTTTGTTTTAAGAGGCTTCATCTGATACCATGCTGGATCTTATTTGTGTTAATGAGAAAAAAACAAACAAGGTTTATAATTTGGAAAAGGATAGCTTTATTTCTCATAAAGGCTTTTACAGCCCACAGTGGCCATTGAGCAGGCTGGGAAACAGAGCTCCCAGCCACAAGCCAGAAACGTGCTTCAAGGGAAGGACAAAGAGAACAGGATTTTATACTGAGCAGAGTGGCTAAATATACATATTTAACAAGCTATAGGAAGAGTTATGAATATTTATGAAAAGAGAACTATGGATCTGCGCAGTGGGGCTTTCTGTCCTTTTATGGGGTCCATGTTTAAAGATGGCCATTCTCTATGTATAAAAGGTGAAACAAGGACATGAAAACCCTCCCTGTGAACGTTCTGTAGACTGTTAAAACCACTTCATGGTTGGTGGTCTTTTATCAGGAAAGAATGCTGGTTTGGCCGTTAGGAAATAAAGCCTGATGGCCATTAGCAAGGGAAGGGCAGGTAAAATGATGTGTGTCCAACCTCCCATACCATCAAAGCTGGGGACTCAGTTTTAAGCTTTTTCTAGGGCCCCCTTGGCCAAGAGGGGCCTTGTTCAGTTAGTGGGAGGCTTAAGATTTTATTTTCATTTCACATTTTATCTTGTTTTAAAAGAGACTTCCTCCGAGGTGGGCATGAAGATTCAAGTTCCCTATTCAATTTCCCTAAACACCTTAGGGGCAGAGGAAAGCTGCCAAGTTACTGCCAGGTGGAGGTGAAAGTACCAGCTTTCTACTTGGTTTGTTGTTGTTGTTGTTGTTGACACCACCAGCAGGGAGGAAAAGAAGTACTTGGTTATGACTGAGTGCAAATAGATGTCTAGGCTCTCTCTCCACTTGGCCTTTGCTAATGGGAGTGGGAATGAGGCCGTAATTTTTTCCGTGGTGTTTGGCTAGAATAGGGTGGTTATTATCTAAATTTTTTCTGTCTTTCTAGGTTGCCCCTTTCCTACTCCTTTGGCTGGAGAGAGCAATCTTTCTTGTTTGTTTGTTTGTTTTGTTGTTGTTGTTGTTCTTGTTGATGATGTTGTTTGTTTTTTGTGCTCCCACTGGAATTTCTGAGTTGCCAGCTTCTCCAGCACCCAGTCTGGAAAATATGGAAGCAAAAAGAAACCCAGTACTCACCACTGGGTCCTGAGAGCCCTAGCCAATCTGCTGTCTTCTCTCTACCTTTCCTAGTCTTCTTAAGATTGTAATATCTAAGGTTTTTAGCTGTACTTAGGTAGGAGGAATAGGGAGAAGTGCATCTTCTCCATCTTGATCCTTCAAACATTTTAATGGCTACATAATATTTTGTTATATGGTTATATCATAATCTTTTTAATGATCTCTTTATTGTTGAACATTTGCTTCTCACTATTCACTATTAAATAAGATTAATATTTGTATGTAAATCTTTGTTTATAGCTTGCTATGTACTAAATAAACTGTGTCCCTCCCTCAAATTCATATGTCAAAGTCCTAACCCCTAAAGTGATTGTATTTGGAAATAGGGATTTTAGGGTGTACTTAAGGTTAAATGAGGTCATAAGGGTGGGGTCCTAATGTGATAGGATTGGTAACTTTATAATAAAAAGAAAAGAGAGAAATTGCAGTAAGGAAAGGCTATGTGAGGACACAGCCAGAAGGCAGCCATCTGTAACCTAAGGAGAGAGATCTGTCAAAAGACAAAATTACAACAAATTTAGTTTGAAGATCTCAATTGACTTTATTTGAGATTCCAGAATCAGGCAACATTTCATTTCGTAAAATAGAAGAAGTGCTCACATAAGCTGAGAAGAAGGAGTTGGTTTTATAGACAGAGAAGGACTGAAGAAAGCAGAAACAAAGGACAAAAAGCGGACTGGTCATTTCAGAGTTACTTCCCTTGTAAGGTAGAAACAGGGAGACAGAACAATAGGACAATAACTGATTGGTTAACCTCAGGTTGCTTCAGGTTAAGGATTAAAACAGAAGGAACTTCATTATCATGCTGATTAAAGATTGAAGCTGGCCTGTTTGAGAAATTGGCTGTTCTCTCTCTCCTGATTTCTCAGAAGGTCAAACAACAGCTTAGTTTTAGTTTAGTGATATGGAATCTCAGCCTGGGTGACTTCATTTTGATTTTTAGTCCGTCTGTTGAGGCCTAGTGTAGAAGCTTAGTCCAAAACAACAGCCTGCTATAATTTTTATTTAACAGCCCTCACCAGACACTGACTCTACTGGCACCTAGATTTGGGCTTTCCAGCCTCCAGAACTGTGAGAAAATAAATCGCTATTGTTTAAGCCACCCGGTCTATGGTATTTTGTTATGGCAGCCTGAGCTGACTATACACAGCTCCAGTAATTTCTTTAGAACAGAGTCCTAGAAATGGAATAAATATGTGAAAGAATAAACATTTGAGGTTTTGGGATC